ATTCTTTTTAAATATTATATAAGAAAAAATATTAAAAAGTAAAAAAAATATTTCAAAAAATAAATAAATAAGTGTTGGCCGGTTAGGGTTGGCTAAAAGCCAACCCGCCTTCAAACGAGCCTTTTCAGCCCGACCCACCACAGGCTCAACCCGCCACGGGCCAACCTGTAACCCGCGGGTTGGCCCGTATTACCAGCCCTAGATTTGGATTCTCTCCACTTCTTCTCCTATCCTCTTCCCCTCCACTTCCTTTTTTGGCCCTTCATAGCCATTGGATCAAAACTTCAATGATCCAGATTTAATATTTTATAACATTTTATAAAAATAAATATAATTATAAAAATAGATAAATAAATTTAAACTGTTAAAATCTAATTTAAACAACTCATATCTACAGGGCGTTATTACAGAGTAAATTTTTTTCAACTTTTTTTTATTACAGTTGTTAACTGTTTAAACCAACTTTTAACAGTTTAAATTTATTTATTTTTTTAATAATATTTTTTTATAAGATGTTAAATCTGAACCATTGAAATTTTAATCCAATAATTGTGAGGAAAAAAAAAAAAAGATAGTAGAGGAGAAGAGGATGGGAGAAGAAGTGGAGAGAATCCAAGTCCACTTTTCATTGAGTTTTTTTGGTCAAAAGTACTTTTCGTTGAGTTTACCTAACCACGTTTTTTCTTTCCTTCTCTTTTTTGGCTAAAAAGGTCAAATTTATCAATTTCTCAAAAAGGAATACAAGCACCGAAAGCCCAAAGGCCAATCAAAGCACTCAAAAAAGTCTAAAATACAACATAACACACCAACAAAATCAGCAGGAAAAAAAAAAAAAACACATCCGACATACAATCTACAAAAACTAGAAACTTAACCGAACAGTCTGAAAATAGAAATCAAAGAGTTAGCCCACACCTCATCTACCAAAACCTTTGGCTAAACCAGAAAATTGAGATACCGAAACCACTCTCCTTCCTGCAGCATTCATTGGAGCCTTCACTGCTTCCCAACTCATAGCATCAAAAGCTGAACATTTAGCAAGAGAGGGTGATGGTGACTCAATCCACCCAAATGGGCACACTCCCTTTCTACATTCAACAGCACACACAATTTGTTGCTTCATTTCCCCTTCTGGAGATTAGGGAAATGGTCACATTCAACAAGCAGTTCAAGGCATCAATGACCTCCTGCATATACCACGTACCTATCCATTCTGCATTTTCAAACAAACTTATTTTTCCAGCACCAATACACATAAGCACAATTGATCTTTAAATGGCCAGGACTAGGAGCTCTCCAACCTTTTAAGTCATCTCACCTACCTCTGACCCTTTCCACACCTATCTCCCAGCCCTTAGCCTCCCAGAATTTCCTAACTGCCTTAGCTGCAAAATCAATTACCTTTGAAGGATTAGGGACATTAGCCTCAAGAACTACACTATTCCTTTCCTTTCAAATTAACCATATTAAACACATCATCTGGGCTATCTGAAACTCATCAACCAAGTTTTCATTTCAAATTAACCATATTAACCACATCATCTGTGCTATCTGAAACTCATCAACCAAGTTCCCATCCATGATGAACCTGAACTGCTACATTTCCTCTTCATAAGAGCTTCACTCACAGGAACTGCACCAACCAGACATCTCCAAATGAATTATCCTTCATTCTCCACACCTTCACCCGGATTCCACTTGGCAAAGCAAACGAAGAACTATATTAGACTGTTACTAACCACCTCTTTCTTTCCTTTAGCTTCAACATAACCGTTTTTGATAAATTTACTAGCTCTATTACTAGCCACAAATTTTCCTTCTTTTGGACCAATAATTTTACTCATATATAATTATTACCAAAACAAATTAATGATATGTGATATAGTATTCTCTTCAATCCTCGATAAAAGAGTTAATTAAAAGAATTTATTTTTTATAAATATAAAACCCTAATTATTTTTATATCTCAAATATATAAATTTTTTAAATTATTTTTATTGACTGTATGTATTAAAGAAAGTTTTTTTTGGGTGAGAATTAAAGAAAGTCTTAGAATAATGATTAAAAGGGTTTTTTCTTTCTCGGATAATATCATTTCTTTTCCCCCCGGGATAAGTCTTTTGACGCGTCATTTACGTTTGACGCGTTTTCCTATATGTTAGCGCTCAGACCAAATATATATTCCCAAACACAGCACCCTGCATTCCCAAGTTTTTTCCTTCTCTCCTGTGCTAGTATTTTGTGAATCTCTGATCGTGCCTGCCATAGAATCTGTGAGTTCCTTTTTTGTTTTATCCTTCGCGTTTTCCAGGATGTGCCTTTTGCATTGAATTGATTGTTTGACCTTTTTCTTGAGATTGCTCCGAATTCTGTTGCTTTCTGGTTTCCTTGAATGGTGTTGCTTGTTCTTGCAAAAGCAAAATGTTTTGCTGCCGATTGTCTCCCGACGTCAATTTTGTGGATTTCTGAATAGCGAGTGAAAATTTTCTGGTATCCAGGGCCTGTTCTCTTGGGTATTTCTTTCCTCAGATTTCTTTGCGCTGATCCATGATCACTAGGTCAGCGTCTTCAGAATCTAGATCCCTTGAGATGGAGATAATCAGCGATGTTGAGATGGTTTGAACTCGGATCAGAATGGTTTACTTATCTGTTAGATCACAATTGTGATATTTTGATTAAAGTTTTTGGGCATGTCTGCTCTTCGGTGATCCTGACCACGATGAGGAAGAATTTATTGTTTTAAAGACCATTTTTCATCTATTACTTGGCTTTCCCCACTTCCCTGAAATATAACATTGACAATTTGGCATCTTCAGCATAATATGACTTGGGATTTCAGAATTCTTACCTTGTAGTTTGTTTACGTTTCTTCCCCTCTCTTGTTCTCATAAATGTGATTCCTTCTCTACATGTATACTATGCCTCGTGTTATGAATCAAAATTCAAGACATTAGCTCATTTTGTTGTCAATTTCTTACCAGGAATCTTCAGCCCTTTGCTCGAAAGATGGGAGGTGGAAAGGACAAGCATGATGAATCTGACAAAGGAATTTTTTCACACCTGGCTCACGCTGCAGTTCAAGGCGGACATGGGTATCCTCCTGGTTCCTACCCTCCACATGGGTATCCACCTCAGCAAGGCTACCCCCGGCAGGGTACCCACCTCAGCAAGGCTATCCCCGGCGGGGTACCCACCTCAGCAAGGCTATCCCCCGGCAGGGTATCCACCTCAACAAGGTTACCCTCCTACTGGTTATCCCGGTCCATCTGCTCCAGGTATGATGTCTTTGTATAATTTTTCATCATTAAATCTTTGCGTAGCTGACTATTGCAATGGTCTGACAAGTAAGTTTCTCTTATGGCCGTAAAATAGTAAAATTGTGAAGCTGCCTATAATTAAAAAAGCATTAATAAGCTGAACTTAACTGAAACAATGGTTTCTTTTCAGGCACCTGAACTTGTATGCTGCAAAGTATGTAGAAACTAGTAACACCATATGATTTCTGAATGGCATGATCCTTGATTTAATGCACTGAATTCTGACTCAAACGTTCTAATTGGGCTTTGCTTAAAGATTTAGTCTTATGTGGTTTATGTGAATACTGACTGCCTTTAATCTGTGGTAACTGTGATTTGTGGATGTCTCGTAGCATTTTGATCCTCAATAGTTGGCATTCTCAAATCTCAACGATTATTTTAGCTGAAACGTTCTCTACTTTGTTTTCACGTTTTCAGCTTGCCTGTGTTTATTATGTTATGGGTTTGTGACTGACGTGTTTTTTGACTGCTACTTTCTGCACATATCTTGTTGGAATCAGCTAAATGATTTGTAACATCATCAGGTCATAGTCATGGTCATGGCATGGGAGCGGTGCTTGCTGGGGGTGCTGCACTTGCAGGTGCCGCATATGGCGCTCACCACCTTGGCCATGGTGGTGGTCATTATGCGCATGGTGGTCACATGGGCCATGGCAAATTCAAGGGCCATGGCAAGTTCAAGCATGGAAAGTTCGGAAAACATGGAAAACACAGCAAACATGGGAAGCATGGTGGATTCGGGTTCAAGAAGTGGAAGTGATCTTATGTCTCTCAGACATCTTCTCGAATACTTACTGCCTTCGTTTTTAAAAATAAGCCATACTTCTGAGCAAGCCAGCCTGTTCTTGGCTCGGCCCCCCCTTTTCGCTTTTTGGGAATTTGATATATGACCCGTGTGTTCCTAGTTTGGATTCTAGAATCTGAACGGCATGAATCATAGATGTAAAATTCTGGCTTCTTTGCTATAGCGACTAAGATGACTAATGCCAAGTTTGTTTTGTTTTTGTCACCCTTATCGGAAAAGCGAGGGATTCTGATAGTCAAGAACATGATCGGTTTGTTGGTGTTTCTAGCCCATCTTTAGCCCAGAAAAGTAAAGGTGAATATTATTGCCAAAATCACAAGGACAACACGTATCTACTATTATGAAAACTCAAGATTATTTTTAGAGGATCTTGATTATATATTTTCTTTATTTAAGTTTAATCTTCAATCTGTTTATTTCATCTAACTTTATTCATATCATTAAGTTTTAAAATATCTACATTTCTACTATTCTTAATATAGAACTTAATTAACTAATTTGAGTATATTAAATATGTTGGTTAAATTAGTTAATATGATATGTTTTTTCCAAAATGTCCTAAACATTTTTTTTAATTTTTCTCCTTCCTCTCCTACCTAATTCAATCGAATTAATTTGGGAAAAGATTGATAAACATGTAAAATAGATTTTACATAAAAGACTAACACAAACTCGTTAATTAGATCCTATGTTAAAAATAAGAGGAGTATGTTTCAATTTTATAACTCTGTATTAACAGGATATGGTGAGGCTGAAGAAGATAAAAAGATAAAAATAAGTCTGAAAATTATAGAAGGAAATTTAGGTTCAATTTAGATTTTGTCCATCTGATGCATATTTTATATACACACACACCCCCGCACGCGCGCGCGCACACATATAGATAACAAGTTACATTATTTATAGTGCGATTCCACATTGAGCTAAACAAATTAAAGCCAATGACACGTTAATTTAAACAGACATTAATAAGTGATGAAACCAGAATCCTTCGAGTACCTTTGAAAGAGGCATTACTGTTTCAATGAGATGGATTCGTACGAGCGTACTTGTTCCTGGTATTGTACAGGGCTGAAACAGTTTCAGCAGCAAAAAGAACATCCTCGTGATTTTGCAACCGAATCAATATTTGGATACTCTAAAACTTCTTAATGTGTAAAGTTGAATGGGGCAAATAATGTGTGCGATTTTACCTTCACATAACCAATAAGATTGCCTAATCAAGGTCTCATATAATACGTTTATGTTGCTCCCTGCCTGTCGCAGAGGGGCCGGTACGACACAAAATGGTTTCTGAGGAATAACGGACATCCACCTTGCAATAACTAGCAGTCATCAATATTGTCAATTGATTATACCAAACCAACATCAATAAGACTATAAGCCACGGTCTTTCTTAATCCTTGGTCTTGGATAGTTTGCCTCAACTCTGTAGCATCCTTCCAGCTTCCTGCAGCAACATACATATTCGCCAATGAAATGTAATATCCAACATTTTGGGGATCCATTTCAAACAGAATTTCAGAAACTTTTCTCCCCAGTTTGAGTTCTCCATGATAGTTGCAAGCACTCAAGAGGGCTCCCCACAAACCGGGGCTTGAATTGGAGGGCAACTTCTTAATGAACTCATAAGCCTCATCAAGCCTACCAGATCTACCTAGCATATCAACTACATAAACTTGATGCTCAGTCTCAGGCTGTACTCCATATTTCTCCAACATACAGTTGTAGTATCCAAGACCTTCGTTCACGAGTCTTGAATGGCTGCAAGCTGATAAAAGGCTGACAAAAGTACTTTTAGTCGCTCTTATTCCGGACCCACGCATTTCATGAAACAGGTTGATTGCTCTCTCGCCATTTCCATGATATCCATATGCAGAAATCATTGAATTCCAAGCTGCTTCAGACTTCTCCTTTGCATGTGTAAATACCTGAAGAGCAAGGTCCAATCGTCCACCATTGCTGTACATGTCCACAAGAGCTGCAGATATAAAAGCATTATCCTGGAAACCAGACCTGAATATGTGGGCATGAACTTGTTTGCTATGCCTTAATACTCCCATTTGAGTACAAGCTGTGAGAACACTAACAACAGTTATCTCACTGGGCTTAAACGGAAGATGAAGAAACAGTTCCAACGCATCCCGACTCTCCTTGTTATGTGATAGGGCTGAGATCATGCAATTCCATGAACATAGGTTGAGAACAAAACAAAATTCAAACACTGATCTGGCGCTTTTGATGTCCCTGCACCTTCCATACATGGTAATTAATGAATTTTGAACCCGGATATCTGATCCCAAGGGAGATGTAAGGACAAGGCCGTGGAGACACCTTCCTTTATTGAGCAGCTCAAGATTTGCACATGCTGACAAGACATTTACAAGGGTTATAGAATCATAGTTGACAGAGGCTTTTCGTCTCATTGAACTAAAAGTTTCTAGGGCCTCTTGATAGTGGTTGCCTTTTACACATCCCACAATCAGAGTGTTCCACGAAGCTGTAACTGCCAAAGCTGAATTCTCTTGGAAAATTAAGAAAGCGGCTGTCAGGTCCCCACAATTGATGTACATGTGTATGAGGGAATTAACTGAAGGAATATGGTTTAGAAATCCTAATTTTAACTGCCAGCAGTGAACAGATTTTCCAAAGGATAAACTATATGTGGAACTGCAGGACGAAAGAACAGCCAAAACAGTCGATGAACTGCCATTGGGGAAGAAATGGAGAAGCTCCCTGAACAAACTTTGGGCTTCTTGGGAATACCCATTAATGGAATATCCATATATCATTGCATTCCAGGATACCAAGTCTCTCTCGTGGGCAGAATTGAACAGGAGCTCGGTTTTCTCTACAAGTTTGCACTTTGAATACATGTCTATCAAGCTGTTTAGTAGAGTAAGGTCAGATAACATCTGTCTTCGTATTGCAAATCCATGGACAGTTCTTCCTTCTCTGGAGAGCATCACCACTGCACAAACTTTTAGAATGTTAGTCAATGTCACTGTATCAGGTTGAAATGATTCATAAGTCTGCATTTCAAGCAGAAGGTCAAACACTTCATTAACACTTCTATTTGAGGCATATCCTTCCATCATTGCATTCCATGAAACAATATCTTTGCACTCCATTTCTCTGAATACAGTTTCAGCCGCTTCAATATCTCCGCATTGTATATATAATGAAATGAGAGAATTGGGGACCGAAACATGCTGGCTATCCAGGTAACCTAGCTTCATTCCCAGCTCGTGAATTGACTGACCAAAATCCAGCTCTCCCAAAGCAGTAGACGCCGATATAGCACAAGACAGACTGACGCTGTCTGCTTCTTCTCCGGACAAAACCATATCCTTGAAATAATACAGTGATTTCTTTGGCTCACCATTATGAAGACTTCCTTTAATCATTGAATTCCAAGAAACTACATCTTTATATTTTATTTCTGAAAAAAGACACTCAGAGGATTTTAAAACGCCACATTTTGCGTACATATTAGTTAGAGCATTACTTAAACTTATATCCACAAGCATCCCAGTTTTTACACTCAAACAGTGAATTGCCCGCCCTTGCTCAAGGTTATTCATGTATGACGAAGTAGATACCAGAAGCAACAAAGTGGTGCAATCAAACCCACATTGCTCTTTAATCATGTTTCCGAAAAAATCCATTGCTGTCTTGTAGAGTTTGTTTTTAACCGATGCGGCAATAATAGAATTCCAAGCAATTACATCTCTGTCGTGAATTTCATCAAACAGAACTCTTGAAGAGCTGAAATCTCCAGCCTTACAATAAATAGTTAGTAGAGATGTCACAGTGGGCAGGTGAGCTAGAGTACCCGTCTTTAAGGCTATACAATGAGCAGCAGAAACCGTCACAAGCTTGGGCTTTTTGCTGGACGAGTTGATAAGATCATTTAGTACCCGTTGTGGCATTTCATCAAACGGTTGAATGGCAGTGTGAAAGAAATGACGTGTAAATAACAAGGCGGGAAGAGCACATGGTGGAATAGGAACCATATGTTTTCGAACGATCTCAAAGTCTCCATTATAGCTGTTCTGGAGAGAAAAAGGATGGGGCGATGGAAGTCTCGTTGGGGGAAGCAAGGCTAGATTCTGTAATCTCAATCTTGTTATGTGAACAAGGAAACGACTTGATGCTGATTTTAACATGAATTGCCAAAGTGTCCATGCTCTCATTTCGGTTTCATCTCAAAGCTAGTGGTGTAGACTTGTGTCTTTCAGTACAAAGCATCAATTTTAATGAGCTTTCGATTTCCATGAATATGCAATTCAAAGCAGTAATGACTGAAAATGTTGGAATGGTTCCAAACCTCCAATGTTAATTAAAACACCGAAGAAGTTATTCAGTTTGCAGCGCTTCTTTGGACGGATAGAGAATCGAGACAAACTTTTATCATCAGATGGAAACCCAAAAATGGAATTATCCATTGACCATTGGGTAGGAGGGGCTGGGTCGCGTTTCAAAATCAGTTTGCGCCGCGAACACGAATGTTCTTCATCCCAGGGATCTGGGTGCGAGTAGAGAAAATGTACCATTAACCCCTTATATGGATCTTTTGATTAATGCTAATATAATCTAATCATTTAAATTTATCTCCGCTCTTTAAATTTTTTTTCTTTAATTTTAATTCTTTTTCACATTTTCAAGATATCATTGATTTGGCCTCACATAATAGTAATAGTTAAATTTATTTGATTAATACATTCAAATTGACCTTTTATTACACATTAATAATGTAATATTAGGGGCTATAATTTAATACCTTAATTTTTTATCAGTTAAATTTAAGCTTTTAACCGAGATTATAATTTAAGCTTTTAACCTATATATATATATATATATATATATATATATATGCTAAAGTATATATTTGGTCTTTTATCTTTATACAAAATTTAAATTTGGTCTCTTAACTTTTAAAAAATATATTTTTAGTCTTTTAATTTTAAAATTTTTAATCGTAAATAATGATTTTTTATAACAATCATAATTATTTTGAAAATTAAAATTATTATATTGGCATTTAACAATATTTTATTAACATTTAAGATTTTAATATTATTATTTTTTATTAATGGTTTAAAGGTAAGAGAACTAAAAGTACAGTAAAGTTTGATTAAAAAAAAAAAGTCCAACCACTTAAATTGCCACTCATAACAAAAATCACATAGATCGGCACATAATTTTGTTTGAAATATGAGTATATGACTAGACTGAAGGCCATTGCACTATTTAGAACTCATGCATAATGTGACTCTCATAAATTTTATATTATTATTGATATGAATATTGATAATATTGATAGAGCCGAAATTAAAAAGAAAAAAAATATTGTGGATGTAAATTTTACTGTTGTAGATTTCCAATTTCCTAATTTGCACAACTGGACTAAGCCAAAATTTTTCTTTTCTTACTAATGCTAGACAATAATCAGATTGTCTCATCTCTACAGCAACTTACATCCTCTATGTCGATCCATATCTTTCACTTATTTAAGCACTATCTTGACAGCCAGTTAAGTAAGAAAATCAAAAAAGAAATAAACTAAGCCATCTTCATATATCGCTCGCGGTATCCATCCATTGGGATGTTTTAAAAAAATATCGACCAACATGTCAGAACTCACCAAGGTGGATGATCATCCTCAGAAGTTGGAGGCGGGATTGGTTTCCATCCAGGTTTCTCATCCCAGTACATATCATAATATATGTGACCAGGAATGTGATCACGCACACAGCACCATATGCCCACATATCGCTTTACACGTCTTCTGAATCTATCTTCCCTTTCCTGAAAAAGTAATTTGGGGATGGCATCAACACATAATAAGTGAATTCTCTTATTCTCATCTTCCACGTTTTACTCGGAGAAAAATGGAAATTAGATACTTTGCAGTAGTATTGTAGAACCAGAGGGGGATAACGAAGCAAGGAAAAGTTTGGGGCCCATTTCATTTATTTACACTTTACTTCTTACTTCATTTGTTATTTCACCTCTCTCTTACAACACTATATGCGGTACAAGGAATTTTAACTCGGAAAAAAATGGCCTCACCTTGTCGGCAAAACCAGTGAAAGCATTTTGCATTGAGGAGAACTGGATGACTTTGACAGCCTTGAATGACGAGAATACCTTGATGAACTGAAAATTCAAGTGGAAACATAATCCATGGCTCGTTTTAAAAAGCATACATTTTTTATAGAAAATGAATGAGGCTATAAGGTCCGTTTGTTTTAAGTTGAGAAAAAAGTTATTTTAGTTGATTATACAAAGGAGATGTTAATGTTAGGAGTTGTTATGGGGTAAAGATAGAGGAATGTGCTGAAAATAATCTACTTATTTTGATAAGTTAATTTCAACCCATCTCCCATATTTACCTCAAAGTTCTCCCAACAACTCCTCATATTTAATCAACCAAAATCACTTTTCTCTTAATTTTGAACAAACTCGCCCGATATTCAACCCAAAAGACAATTTAATCAAATGCATTATTTCTTTAGATAAACTGCAGATGTAGACTCAGGAGACCAGTCTCTGCCTGTACATACAAATGCATTCTTATTTGTATAACTAATCTAACATGTACTAATATCACTTCTAATTTCTGCCACAAGGAATTTGTATGAAGAAATTATGTTTATGCCATTAACGCGCAGAAAGAAGCATAATTTGGTCCGAACATTTCTTCACTTCTAATATATACTAATATCACTTCTAATGCTCTGATGCAAGATGCTTAACCGTATCTCACAGTAACAGGACTGAGAGGCCATATACCAATGCAATTTGCAAGCTTATTTTTGAAGAATTCAAGCAAAAATATGCACTTGAAATACCGTTTCCTCATCGCTATGCCTTGGAATTCTGAGTACCCCCTCAACAGCAGAATCATTTGATGCATTACAATCATGTGTTTCTTCTTGACAGAGATGGACATCAAGCCATGACTTCTTTACCTGAACTCCAGAACCAGGCAGACAGATTTCCTTTAATCAACTTACACAAAAAAAGAGACTCAGTGGTTCAGAAATTAGATGCAATTGGCTACAACTCACCTCTTCGGGCAGAGAGGGATTATCTAGTATTGAGTACTCTCTGATATTTATTCCTGGGCCAAACTCTTCCTCTGGGAGTTCTCTCAACATGGCATTCACCTGCAATGATGGCACATTTCGTTATTTGCAAAGAAGTCTCCTGAATTTTAATACGGGGACCAATTGTCCCCAACAGAGTTAAGGCCCCATTATGGAAAACATCAATCCTCAGGCAACAATTTCCATAGCTAAAGCAAGTGGCATTACCAATGTTTTGGACCTTTCTAATTTGGTTCAGATACTGCACAAATTGTTCTTGAAAGTTATTGGTTACTTACAGATTAATAAGATGAGTTGTTTAATCGGCCACATCATCAAAAGCACAAATGAAGAATGGCATTCAAAAGTAGCTACTCGAAAAAGCAGGAAATACCTCAAATACATGATCCAAAGGGCAAAGAAAGGGTTGCCTAGTCATAGTTCCCTCCAGAACACCAGGATGTGGAAACCATAGCCTATCTAACCTGCACCATAGCGGAGGCATGACCTAAACATGCACAAAGAGAAACCAGTTTAAAATATAGTTGTAGATATAAAAAGTAATATGCACTAGAAAAGCATCAAACATGATAACTCAAACATGATAACTCAGTTTTTCTTCATTTCCTGTGCGATCGGAAACCAATTGCATCAACGAAAGTAGGAAATGAAGAGCTTTCTAACCTGTTAGAAGATTCACTTATAGTTTTATCAAAGAAGGACATAGATGGCCATGCCAGGCCAGTAAAACTGACCAACATTACCTCTGCAATCTAATAATTTTTTCCTTAGCCCAACCAAGCTCAACGTAACATCATATTTTAAGGTGGTATTACCACAAGAAAATTTGAAAAACAAGAAGTTTGTTCCTTCATCATATTATCAGTGACTGATTAGTTCACAGAACTCATAACAAATTTTAAGATATTGATAACCGATAGTGTTAACATGAGAAATTTTGTACTTGTTTTGCAATTATAATCCTGGAAAACAGTTCTCACCAGAGTTCTTCTCAGAAGAGAAGCAATAGCAAGTGCCGTCCTTATCTGTTTTATCTGTACATATCCACACACAATATAATCAACAGGATGCAACATAATTTCCATTCCAATGCTAAAGTAAAAAGGATCAGGTCAATACATGCATACTTGATAATTAACCAGAGAAAAATGTGAATCAATGGCATGCTTCCCACTTAGTAATAAGCTCCTAGGAATAGATGGCTTAAACAACAAGAAACCCCCTGCAAGAGTTACTAAGTAAGCTTGCAGTACTATCATGCATGGAAGTCAGCAAATAAGACAAGCAGATACAACAAGCATTGCATAAACAAGTTTAAGTGTCAACTTTCAGTCATCAGTGTCAAAGAAGCTACATTCAACAACAGATGGAATAGAAAAACCTTCATACATGATAAAAGGATTGCTACAAGAAAGAGTGAAATGAGTGTATTGGTACTTGCCAAGTAATTTTTTTAAACAAAAAATTAACGGTCTGACCCTAAATTGAGGAAGAAATCACAAATTATTACCAGGTGGATTATAGTACTCTGGTGGGTCATAGAAAAGCTTTGCTTCTCGAAGCCGGTGGCGCTTTCCTTCAGTGCCTCCATATTGAAATGTTGTGTGCACGGCATATGGCTCTAATCTGAGTTGCTGATGCATAGCCTGTGTAACACGCAATTATATTCCTACAGAGAACTTGTCCCAGATTTGATGTTCCAGTATTATAGATTACGAACAAGATTCCTCCAGACAGTGAATTGCATAAAAAATGCTAAAGGCATAGTGCAAACAAACCACAAAAAGAAAAAGAAACCAAACTGTTAAAAGCTATTAAATAGGTTGTACCTGCACAAAATATGTATGCCCACTACAAAAAATACTAGCAGGCAAAATTCCCAGCTTCAGATTTCCATCAAAAGCATAAAATAGTCCTGTCTGTGTACAATGTCATTAAAACCATTCTGATCCCATATGTTGTCATCAGCTAGAAGCATTTCTTTCCATTCCTTCGCCAATTTTTTTGCAGAATCAGTAGGCCTCCAATGAAATATTCCTATGTTGTAGGCAGCATTAACTACTCATGATGTAGCACAATGTCATCAGTAAGGTAAATGTCTGGTTATGACTAATTCAATAAGTGCTAGGTCTCACACGATAAAATGAAGAGAGAAGCAATGGGTAAAATTTAAAAATAAACGCAAAAGGCTTCACTGTCTTTCATTCTTCTAATTTAAAGGCAAAGCAAAATAGAAGCAAGGCATTCTAAAGTGAAATGGGGCACCTAATAATTCAATTCATATCAATCAACAGAAAAGATCACGCTACCATTCAAGAGGGTCACAGATCTAAGTCCAAAGACGTCATTTGAGTGA